CTGCTGATCAACCGCACATCACGCTAAGTGACTGCAGCCAGCTGAATTCTTGTGTTTTGTGTTTGGCCATCTGTTTTTTCTTCTAAAATTGTAACAAAAAGAAAGATTACTCATATAACAGAGTTATGGTGCAGAAGATGCCTTTTTGTTATGATTAATTCTGAAATGTAAACCCACTGAACATAAGCAATCTGATACTATAGAGGTGTTAGTAAATTCCTGTCTGTTACGGGACTACGTGAATCTTCTTTAGTGGGTTGTCACTTGCACTGGTTGAAGCCAGTGCAAGTATAACGCAGAATCTCTCTGGTGCTGTGAAACATCCACCTTTAGCAGTGAGTTAGAAGTGTCGCCATTCCTTTCAGCTGCTACAGCTGTGTTGTGAGTTGGGTTCCAGCTTACTGGGATCGCAAGATAAGTTAGGCTGTATTTAGAAGTAATTTCTTTTATTGAGCAGTTGCTAACTTCAAAGGTTTCATTTTATCTTGTACTAGGGTGTCTCCCGGCTGAGGATGTGTAGTCCAGATTTTGAAAAAGATGTAATTTATGGGACCTGACATGTGACAGGAGAATTGGCAACTTAGTTTTGAATTAAAACTTTTCTTGCAAATTTTTTGGAGCACAGGGTAGGGTCCTAATTTTCATGCATCAATAGATCAGATCCTGCCATGTCCCCAGCATTTAACAACTATTTGAATTTCACTGAAAAAGCTGTAATATGAAATGTGTACATTTCTGCTAGTTCTAGGTAATTCATAATGAACTTTTATTGACTTAAACCACTGGAAAGCAGGCATCTTAGCCACATAATATTTCAAGGTAATAATTGGGGAATTGGGTACCTTCTCATCAGATTGAGGCCTTGCTGTTTAACTGGGAAACATTAACTTGGCAAACTGCATGGCTCCCAGTGATCCATGTTACAGGTATTTAATCTGTGGATTTCTATGTTGTTACGCATATGAAAGTGGGGTCAGGTAACTGATCCCTGTAGTTGCGGACATAATATGAGCAATACCTGTAGGAAAGAGTGCGGAGATGTTAGATGGAAACGTGGGTCACGCCTGTCAGCTTGCAGGAAAAACTGTGAAGTTACATAGTTTCTGCTGCAGCTTCTACTCACTTGACAAATTGCTCTTAGTGACTATAAAAAATGGCCTCTCCTTCTCCCCATCCCTGCAGCCTGCCTGGGAATAAAAGTGATTTCATTTCTTCATGACCCTGTAGAAAAGAAATTATTAGCAAAATCCAACCCGAGTATCACTTTGCAGTGTGAGCATATTCCCTGTGCATTTGGTTAAGTGTAAGTTTTTAGTCTAGGGGGGGACATACACTGCACATCTGAAACCAGACTCTGACAGGGCTCAACATCAGTTGGACCACTTGAGGCTTTCGTACTTTCGTAGTCAGGGCCTTCTGCTGCAAGCAGAAAGGTGGTTTTGAAGTTCGCTTTCCTCTTTGAATGTGTCCTTGTTGCTGCACGGGAAGGTTGCACTCTGACTAACTTCAATAATAGCCTGATTTGATTAGCAGTTGAACTTAATGAAGGTGATTGACGTGCAGCCCACCTCTTATAATTCCCTGTAGTTGTCATTGTGTGCTACTTTGTCAGTTCTTTATGAGCCTTGAAAACCTGGGAGTGTGTATTCCTTTCCTTACTCAACTGAGTTATCACTAATTGATATTTATGTAAAACATTGATTAGTCTTTTCCATTAAAAGATAATTGCAACTAAAGGTGTGGTGTGTCTCCTTTTAGGACAGTTAACAAAAAGCGCTGCGGCACGTTGCCCAGTTACCTTCGGTTGGGATGCCATTGTGGCTCCCCTTCCACCCCGGTGTGGGTTCTCACGGTGAAGTTCTTTGTTTCGTCAAGGCTGGCAGAGGGAGGAAACCCTGGCACCAGGGACATACTGCGTGGGTGATGCCTGGCAGTTACTGCGCTGCCACACGAGCCCTGGACATGCAGCTGGCATCTCTGAAACACACGGCCTTTACTCAGCTGCTGTGGGAAATACAGGTTCGGACAAAACGACGTGTTTGTTTCTTAGCATTCCTGAATGCTTAAGGAGGATTTTTGTGGATTTTGGTGGCCTTCAGTCCTCCCATGGCTGTAGAACATCTCTGGTCTGGCCATGCAATTTGGAAGTTAGTTCCTCTCTGGCTTTTCTGCTCTCCTGCTTTTTGAACATCAGGCTCCCTGCATGTTTTGTTCCTCCTTCAAGGATTTTCCATTCCTTTAAACTCCAGGCTGCATTGTACCATTCATGGAACGTTCTCAGGAAACAGCGTGCAGGTGGGCCTGGCAGCCTTTCAACCATGATACCTTGAATGTCACGTGTACCTGTGCATGCACACAGTTTTTCTAAATGGACTAGAGCTTCTTTCTTAGAAGCAGCCACGTGCGAACACCTATCCTGAGTACAGCTTTTGAAGACAGGGAAAGAAAGACTTCAGGATTTCAGAAAACAAGGAAGATGGAGTAGCTGGAGCAGAGAAGGCTGTTCCTGGCATCTCTAGGTAACGTTTGAGACTTTCTGTGAGCAGTCTGAGATTATTGGATGGTACTGAGGAGCGGAGTCCTCTGAAGTGCTGAATTCTACTTTCCCTCCTCCCTGTGGAGCTGGAGCAGTTACCTCCCACTTCTCCCTTAGCCGAGTTTCTGTAACAAATGAATCCTCCCACCTTGCTTCTGTGCAAAATAACCGACCTGCTTTGTGGTCACACAATGCACATACTGGGGAAAGGTGGAGCCTCACACTAGGGTCAGGTGGGAGACTCCTCGCAAGCGGAGCGCGCCTGGTGGAGGCTGTTCCGTCCCTGCCCCCGAGGGCCGCGGGGGCCGCAAGGGAAGGTGCCCCTGCTCCAGCCAGCGGAGGAGAGGGGGACAGGCCGTTGCGCACGCAGCAGGGCAGGCTGCGGTACCGACTAGCGAGTCAAGAAAGCACACGGCCATGTCCTCCGTTAGACACACGGGGGGACCTCGGGCAATCCCTGACCGAGGGCAGCCG